ATGTGTTTTCCGATGGTCTTAGGCGACCCTTGTGAAAGGTCGTGACCCACAGGTTGAGAACCACTGGCCTAGAGTCAGGAGCCCTTTCAAAGCAGGGGATCTGTTAGTGTAGAGCATCTGTCTCCAGCGGCTGTCAGCACCCTCAAGGGAAGGCTGCAAATGAGTACGATGCTATACATTTTAATGCCCCGAGAGGGAAGCAATCAGAAACGGCTTGTCAGAGACAGAGTCTGTATGTATCCTAGCGTAGCCATTACCAGTAAGTAGAGTCTAACACAGCCACTGTAAAGGACAGAGTAGAACAAACTGTTCCATCCGTTTTCCAAGGCTGTAATCTTTAGTGAAGCAGACAGGGGTTCAAGCCACTGGACTGACCTGTGCCACCCGGGCTCTGGACCCCAGAGTAGTGACCCACATCGTGTGCGTGCATCACAGTTGCCTGGAGGGCCTGTGAACGTGTTGCTGGGCCTACCCCAGATTCAGTAGATTTGGAGACTCTGACAAATTCTCAGGGGATGCCGAGGCTGCTGATCTAGGGACTACTGTTGTCCAACTCTTGCTACGTACAAGTTTGGTCCTCAGACCAGAAGGCTTGGTGTGCCACTCAATTAAACTTCACCCCAAGCCTATTGACTAGGCGTCTACATTTTAGCCAGACCCCAGAGTGATTCCTAGAAAGGTTAAAAGCCGACAAGCATCCCTCTCAGGCAGTCCTTCCCAAACTGGCCAATCAGGAATCTCCTGGATGCTGAAAATTTAGATTCCTATGCTCCTTTGCAGACATGAGTTCAGAGGGTGTGAGAGGCGGGAAAGTCGAGATGATATCAAGGAGTTCAAGGAGAAAATATTTTGAGACTGACTGTGGTCGTAACTGTGCAGTGTTGCTTGATATGATTGAACTAGGGAATGATAGGATAGCTGTAATAATTCCCAATAAAAAGGTTTTGGGGGGGAAAATAATAATACATTTTTTAAAAATAGATAATTAAAAGGACAAATAAACATGATGAAGAAGAAGAGAGAGGATTATAGGACTCCCCCTCAGGTGATTGTTAGGAAATATGGGAAACCCTGCTCAGCCTCTGCATTCCATTCCACCCTGGCTCGATGCTGCTTGGATGAGAGCAATCCTCAAAGCCAGAGAAACACTGCTGGCTCCAGGGTCATGACAAGGCAGCAGCTTCTCCCCCAGACACAGGAACTTGGGGAAGGTGGCTCCTGGAGGCCTGTGACGCCATCAGAGGAAATGGGTGGTTGTGAGAACTCAGAGCCTGCAGCTGAGAGCCGCGAGCTCCAAGGAGCCTGCACGGGCAGCTCCTGTGACAGCTCCGAGAGCCCTGGGCCTTCTTCCCTGGCCCAGCTCTGCTTGGGAGGACTGTCCGGTCTGATGATTCCTCAGAAGCACGGGGCTCTTGTATGCCAGGTGCACAAACTGCTGACTCCAGGTGGATGCTGAGCAACCCAAACCAAGACCTGTGGCCTCTCCCTGAAGCTTCTCTTTGGGCTCTTCGGACTGAGGACATTGGCAGACTCCAAGACGGGTACCCACCAAGCCCTGGGCTGTTAGTCAAGGCATGCGTCTCATCTGAGCCCCCTCCCCAAACCTCTGATGACGAGAAGTCAGTAAGTATATTTTTGTTTTCTGATGGTCTCAATAGGTGAGGAAGGAGACCCCTTTGGAGGCTGGGGGTAGACTGGAGGACAGGGTGGGCTTTATAGTGAGGAACAAGCTCAAGAAAAAGAGGAGGTGATTGGGCTGAGGCTTCCTGGGGGTCCCTAAAGGAGCCAAGCCTCTTCCCTCTACCCTTGACTGCCTCCTGGAGAAGTGCAGTCTCCCCTCCTCTGTCTTCATGTCTGCTTTGGTCCCATCTTGGTTACCAGCTTCTTGCGTAACCATGGCTACAGTCTTCTAAACATCAGCCAGTTATCATCTCTGCGGACATCTTTCATGGTAGCTGTAGACTCTGCAATTCTGCTCACACAGGGTTGCTAGTGGTCAAAAGAGAGGGAAAGGTCCACTTTCCGTCAGTCCACATTCATTGTTCTGTTCCTGGTCACCGAAAACTGTCTTCTGGGAGTCCTCAAGAAAGAGATTGCCGTCCCAAACGAGCCTGCCATTCCTGTCCTCTCTGGGCCTTGAAATAGGACACACACCCTGCCCGATCTCTTGTAAAGATCTTTACAAAGATCAAGTGAGACAACCGGAAACACCATGCAGGCCAGCATGCTGCTCTCAGCTACCTGTCACTCACTCACTCTGCACACTAGCCTGACTGGTGTTGGGACCCTCAGGACGATTCTGACACAGAGCGGCCCGGGTGACAGAGAAGGACAGGGCCAGAGCCTTTCTAGGCGGCTGTCTTTACAGGAGTGGACAACCGGTCTATTTTCCCCGCGTGTGGACCTACTGACGACGTAGAACCACGTAGTGCCTCCAACCTTTCGGGTGGCAGCTGAGAGCCACCACGGTTGCTTTGCACTGGCTGGGCCCCCTAGACTAGGGGTCCTCAAACTACGGCCTGCGGGCCACATGCAGCCCGCCAAGGACATTTTCCCGGCCCGCCGGGTGTTTTTGCCCCTTTTGGTTTTTTACTTCAAAATAAGATATGTGCAGTGTGCATAGGAATTTGTTCATAGGTTGGTTTTTTTAAAAAACTATAGTCCGGCCCTCCAATGGGTCTGAGGGACAGTGAACTGGCCCCCTGTTTAAAAAGTTTGAGGACCACTGCCCTAGACACTGCCTAGCTGGCTCATGGGAAGATGCTCAAATGTTTATGATTTTCCACCTCCCAGGTCTTCCCACCATTGTATGCCCAGGCATTTTCCTGGCCCTGGCCAGACCAGGTAAAAGGACCAGGAAGCGGGGTGGGGAGGTAAGGGGACATGGGTGTGTGTGTGTGTGTGTGTGTGTGTGTGTGTGTGTGTGTGTGTGTGTGTGTGTGTGTGTGTGTGTGTGCAGGTGGTGCACTCTCCCCACTTCCTCAGTCCAGGGGGGGCCCATCCCCCAACTCCACCTGCAGTGGGTTTATTGCAGTTGGTGACTGTGGTGACTGTGTTGGTGACGTGACAGAGGGGAAAGGAAACTAACCTTTACTGAGCACCCGTCAGCGGCCGGCTTTGACACTCCCCCACAGCCCTATGGACTTGGTATTAGCAAGGGAGGGAGACTTGGAAGGTTCCCTGCTTTCCCTGAGGTCACACAGCCCGAGCTTGGTTGATGCCCAGGCCAGATCTTCTCCCGCTGGGATTGTCTGTACTCCTATCTGCAAAGTGAAGCCTGCTGCCTACAGCTCAAACCCAAAGGGAGGGGGCGGGCTGGGAGGGCAGCAGGGATCTTGATAACCTGGCCTGACACCGGGGAGCTCTAGCAGGGCAGGAATAGAACCCTCCGGAGGCGGCAGCACCCTCCTATCCACTATGGGCTCGGTGGCTGAAGCCTGAGCAGCGAAGTGACTGTCAGAGCCTTGAGTGAAGAGGCCAGTGTTACGGAACACCTATCCCCAGGAATCCTGATCTCCCCGCAGGAGCAGGCTCAGGTCACTGCCGTGCTGAGGACATGACACTCAGGGACAGATGGAATGTTCCTCCCTCTAAGACAGCACTGCTTCCCGGGCCCAGACACAACTCCCGTCCCCACACAGTGAAGGATCCAAAGTGAAGGAAACCACCCCCCTGCCTTTCCAGAGGCTCCTCCAGGGCAGCACCCAGACTCCCTCAACCCCAGGCCCCTTGCCCTTGGCAGTGGTCCTGGCACCACTCAGGGGCCGGATGAATAGGAGCTGAAAGGAACCTTGTTGCTACTGGAAAGAATAAAACTTCCTGAAAACAAATTCAACTCTCACCACCACCCCCGAAAAAACCCTACCCGTTTATTGGCTGGTTTGTTAAGGAGAACATTTATTAAGTCTCAAAAGGGACAAAAACAACACAAATCCAGATGAGGGAGGCCATTAGCATGGGGTTAAATGGCGTCCCCATTTAATATAGTGCTTGAGTATTTAAAATTAGCAGTAGCCTAGAAACCAGGGAGTTCAGATTATTCCAAAGTTATCTGTCCAAAGAGCTGAGTCCCTCATTCTTGAGTTAATGTGTATTGAGTACCTTCTATTGACGGAAAACAGAGTCCGGGGCTCATGAAATGCTGAGGGAACCAGCAAACAAGAGGCCCCGCCCTCTCTGAGCTACAGAATGGTGGTGGATGAGTCAAGCCAACCCTCTAACCAATGAGCGATGAAAACTTGGAAGGAATACAACAGGGCACCAGGAGAGGGGAGGGCCCGGGAGGCTCCCAGGCCAGCTTCTGGTGAAGTGACACTCAGGACAAGATAAAGGAAAAGTGGTCTCTAAGCAGGCTTTCACCGGCCTTATCTGGCTGGCCCACATGTTGTGTATTATTTTTCTCACTGGGGGATGAGGCACTGGAGGCAGAGAGCCAAAGTGGTCTCAGAGTCTAGCAAGTGATCACTGTGTCGTACAGCTTCCCAGTAATTGTCCTCTGCCCCATAACACGACTACCAGTGGGTTCCTTGCCGGCTGGCTTGTCACACCAGCTCCCAAGCTCCCTCGCATCCCCCTCACCTACCTCTGATCAGGTGTAAGGGGAGCTCAGAGGCAAAATGTGGCTCCCTGGTCAGAGAACAGGTTCCTAGTGGGCAATAGAAAAGCCAGGGTGCGGTGCGTGAAAGCGTCCTGGGGAACATGGGATCCAGCCGGGCCCACAGGGAGGAATGGATATTCCGGCCCGTGAGAAGAGGAGGCGGCACATGAGCAAGGAATTGAGGATGGCCGCAGCGCAGGAAAGAGGGGTGGGGGGTGGGGGGGTGGATAACCAGGGTCCAGTTTGCAGGAAGTGTTCAAAATCTAGTTAAAGAGCCAGGGGCCTGCTCCTGATGGGCAGCCAATCAGCAGGGCTGGCTGGGGAGGGCGGGGTCCAGAGCCCAGGCCCCTGCCCTACTGCGACATCTTTCAGGGCTTCTCTCTTTTCTAAGGGCTCTGCTGACAAGGATGGGAAGCCTTCCCAGCAGAGGAAAACAGCTGACACACCCAAGCTCAAGCCCCTCAGCCCAAGGCCAAGGACATCAACCCATGCCAGCAGGTAGGCCATGGGGTCACGGGGTTACCAGCCCTTTCCCAGGCACCTCCAGGATGGGGGTCCTCGGTGGGGGGGCACTACCACTGCATCAAGCCCTGAGAGATCCTGCTGGGTCCTGGTGCTGGGTCTGGACTGCCCTTGTGTCGCTTATAGTTCAGCAGGGAGAACACTGAACAACCGGATAAAAGAGACACCGTGAGAGTGTGAGAGGCACCCAGCGGGGAGGGAGAGGCCTTCCCTCCCCTTAAACTCGTTTGTTCAGAGACTGATCTGACAACTCTGGACCCCTATGACTTTCCAAACCCACACTGTCCCTTCTAGTGGCCAGTACATTTCAATCAATGAAGATGAAGTTGAATGCAGGTCTTCGGTGCCATCCTGGTGACTGTGGCATGGGACAGCACAGAATTCTCGAACACTCCCATCCTCGCAGAAAGTGCTGTTTGGTCAGTGATGCTCCAAAGGGTCTCCTCTCCCCTGAAGAAGGGCAGCGAAATCCTTGCAGCAGAATCCAGAGGAGGGAGGGAAGATGGGGAAATGGGAGATAGTGACCCACGGGAAGGGAAGAGGAGTAGGTGAAGGGTCAGCTATTGGAAGGGTTGATAAGTAGTTTGAATTACCAAATATAAACTCGATGACCTGAAATGTAAGCACGTAGCTAATTTACAGTTACAGATTGTGATGATGTATTTTTTTTAAAAAAATAGAACTCCATTAACAAGCACACGGGACATCTACCATGCACATGCTGAACCTCTAACAATGATTTCCTAAGAGAGTCCCAGTTTTTAGGACAGCAGGAGACTCCAAATATCCTGGCCTGTCTGATATCTGATGTCAAATTTGTGTTCCCCCAATGGCACCCGGTCCTCTCTCAAACCACCCTTGTTTGGGGGCTAAAGCCACAAGCTCTTGGAGGAGGAGGATCCGGGTAACACCTGAGCAGGAGGCTGAAGAACCGGGTCTATCTGGGTTTGATCAGGAGCTGGCTCCAGTCTGAAGACTCCCCTTCAGTGGCGGGTGCCCTCCTCTGCCCGATCATCAATAGCCATCCTCCAGAACCAGCCTCTCTCGGGCCTCGCGGGTATTAGCGTCCTGTGCCCGCAGGAGTTCGCTGAGGCGGCAGTGGTCTCCTTTGAACTGCCCCATCTGCACAAAGAGCTGGGGCCGAGGAGCCCCCACAGGAAGAGACCTGGAAACCACATAGACCTTCACCTCCATTTCCTCTGACCCGAGCCAGGCGCCGTGGCCCCAGGCTGCTCTGAGGCATGGCCAGGACAACTGGGGTGGTGGCTACTCCAGCCTGTTGAGAAGCATGTCAGTCATTTGTCCCGTAGCCATGCCTTTGCAATCTCCTGAGGCTGGTGGCTTACCCTGTGCCAGCTCTTGTGCCAGGACCTGGGGATACAACAGTGGACAAGACAGGCACTGTCCTTGCCCTCAGAAACCATCAGGAGACAGGTGCTACACCAATGATCCCTTACAACTGTGTTCCCTTTGGGTGGTGGTGTGTTTTCAGAGAAGCAAACAGTATGTGGTGAGAGGCCTGGTTGGGTAAGGCTTCCCAGAGGAAGGGGTTTTCTGCTGAGAAGGGGTGCCCACAGGGCAGGGAGGGAGACCAGTTAGAGAACCCACCAGCCACCCTCCTGTGTGAAGAGGAGGCTTTCCACTCCTGTCAGGATTGACAGCTTCAGAGACCCACAGGGACAGGTCCCTCGGGTCTCTGTGGGTTGGAACTGAGTTGTCGACAGTGACTGGTTTGATGTTGGTTCATTTGCAGCTCAGGGTCTGGCCCCCAGGGGGCGCAAGCTACGGGCTTCCCAAGAGCAGACAGACCCAGCCACCTGGTCGGAGCATGAGCTTCCCAGGTTTATTTGCGTTGCTGTGGTTCTTGGCATTACAGACTCAAACATCAGACATGGCCTTGGGTCAGCCAGGCCCTGTGCTGCAAAGAGCCCTGGGCTCTGAGTAGTCCCAGACTGGGGTCACTGCAGGGTACCCCATGCAAAACCTGGAGGGTGTGGAGGAGGCTGGCATCACCAGACTCAGTCTCCCTCTTCTCATTGCAGCCCAGAGCCAGGAGGACCAAGCCAGCCTTCCTCCCCCCACCCCCCACTCCACCAGCGTCTACCTCCGAGTCTTCCCCTACAAAGCAGGTCTTGTCTCTGTACCTGCTCCCCCACACCAGCTTGTGGGGTCCCAGCTCCATCAGGAGGGGCATCACAGAGGCCTTGCAGAGAGGAGTGTCTGCAGGCAGATAAACCTGCCTCCTGACCCTTCACTGGTTTCCCCACTTTAGTGTTTTCCTATATAGACAAGTCTCTCTTCTCCACTTTGTTACAAAAGCTTTTCAAAATAGGATAAGCAGTGTTCCCCAGCTCAGAGGATTAGGGTTTGGTGAGGTTTCTTCCAGCAGCCCGGGGTGGCCAGGCTTTTCAGGCCAAGAAGACCTGACTCAGAGGGCCTGGGAGTGACACCGCTTCTCAGGTAGAGGCTCTGGGCCAGTGGTTCTCAACCTTCCTAATGCCACAACCCTTTCATACAGTTCACTGCTCATGTCGTGGTGACCCCCAACCATAAAATTATTTTTGCCGCTACCTCATTACTGTCATTTTGCTACTGTTATGAATTGGGTGACCCCTGTGAAGGGGTCGTTTGACCCCCAAAGGGGTCTTGACCCACAGGTTGAGAACCGCTGCTCTAGGCAAAGGTCAAGGGAGAGCTTCAATGTGGGAGAGCTAGTCTGCCCATGGGCACTGCACTCCAGGGGACAGGGCCTGTGTCTATGGGGAGAGATGGAAACTGTAGTCCCCATCAGGAAACCAAGGGCCAGCTAGGAAAGGGGTTATGGTACAAAGGGAAGACCATTTTCAGCACACACTCACACACACCCTGCTCCTTACACACACACACACACACACACACACACACACACACACACACACA